CCTTATTTGGAGAGTGACTCGACATATCTATGTACCAGATGAAATGTGTCTGTCAATAATTTCATGAAAAGTCGTTTGGATTTGTTTCGGATAATAAGATGCTCGGATGTTTAAGAATGAAGCGCATTTTGGTGTTGATTTGCAGAAATTTTGTGCCTTTTAGCCTTTTGAAGCTTTGGGTAATGCTAAGGACTTGCTTAAATACTGAAATGATCGTACACAGAAATGCTTGGAGAAATTGAAAAGTATTGAGCTTTATGCTAATATAAACATTTCCTAATTTTTCGCAATTTAAACACACCATTAACTTAACTAGTTTTTAACCCGTGAAAAGCAATATAATAGAACAAAAAATAATAAAAAGAATAGTAAAAATTATAATATAATCATTGAAAAAATGTTCTAAGAAAGAATAACTAAATATTGTTAAACAATTCTTTATATACAATGTTTTTTATTTTTCTATCAACAGAATTTCCATCACTACAAATCACTATCTTCAAATTAAGACATATAATGGTTTTATTTTTTTTAAATAATTATTGTATTTTGTACTATAGACAAATACCACAAAATATTACAAAATAAATAGTTGTATTTGGTTGATAAATAATGATATATGCCAAATATTTAAGACATTTGAACAAAATGACAATTTTTGGGCCATAAAGAAATATATTGATTGATGATAAAAAAAGCTCAAATTAGAAGTCCACTTAATTTTTTAGGGTAGCCAAAATCAAATATAAAATAGGTCAATGATAACATGACTATAAATAGAGATAAACTCCCTGAGAGTGATGTAAGCCATTTTTTTTTTGTTTGATGTCGGCACTTCTCTCGTTATTCACTCTGTCTGAAACCCTAATCCTTAACCCGATCTTACGACAAACTCGACGAGATTCAATACAAAACAAATGTTTTACCGGAGATTTTCTCCCGGTAAAGCCTTAAAAAATTAAAAAAAACATCCGAGAAATGTTGTTTTTGTGGCCAACAGTAGTGATCGAAAAATAAATATTCGTCTCGATTTCTTAATCTGTGTTGCTAAATCTTAATAGGTCGGTCAAAATCGGGCGATAATATTACAAATCTATGAAGAGTTGAAATATTTTTCGTTAAACGTAGTTTTTATTTTTTATTATTATCAATGATCTATGTTGTTTTTCGAAATTCTTTGTGAATAAGCTTCAAAGATATATCATATTTTATACATAATTCGAAATTATTTAGATGTTTTTCGAAATCGTTTTTCGAAGAGAACATGACATTGGTCGAACTTTTTCAAACTTTTATGTATTTTGTTCAGGGTTTGAAAAAGTAGGTAAGTTTCTAACAGATCTGTTTAACTCTACTAACAAATATGTATGTAAGTTTATAACATATCTGTTCATATCTGTTTATAACATACATATGTAACTTTTATGTATTTTGTTCAGATTTTGAACACTAAATAGTTCAATTATTTCTCGTCGTTCTCATCATATCAGGAAGTGAAGCTTTGCTAACACTTGTTCAAAATCGCTTTTCGAAGTTGTTCAAAGTATTTTGCCGAAGTTTTTTAAAGTTTTTAGTATTTTGTTCAAAATTTGGAAATATTAGGTAAGTTTATAATAAATCTGTTTACATATATTTATCGCATATTAGGAATTTCTTGTTTAATGTTTAAAAGAATCTCTAGGAATTTTTATTTTTAAAACTTCTACGCAAAAAATCGATTTGAATATAAAGGCAGATGTCTTGGTAAAAGTTGAATATGTTGATAATGATAGGGAAATCAAATTATTTTTCTTTCTATATTGTAATGTCCAATAATGTTCCACATAATTTGTTGTATTTTTAATTTTGATTTTTTCATATATATTTGACTTTTTTTTTTGTTGATTATTAATTATGCTTGATATTTCTATATTATGCAACAACCTGCCATTACATACAATGCCTTGTCAATCCTTATTCTTTGACTTTGTCAATTTCCGTTTAATATGACTTTTCTGTTGCTGAAAGTATGGTTTTTAATGCATTAAAATATTGATGTTTTGGATATGTTTTGATGCTATAATCATGCAGAAATTTGTCTCGCCATTTTTTTCTTAAAGAAAAATTGTTTAATGAAAATTAATCATATTTATATTTATAATTGTGAAATAATATTTCTTTTTTCACGGCCAACAGTTTTTTTTTTAATGAAAAATATGAGACAATTTATTCAGCACACTTTTTAATTTATAAAACAGAATGTTGATTGCGATAATTAAATCTGTAGAAATGCATTTTATTGAATAGTTAATATAAAATATTTTATTATTACTACCAAATGGAAAGTCGAAGATAATTAATTTTGCACTATTAATTATGATCATATGGATTTATTTTGTACATATATTTTTTCATTGAACTTTTTAAATGATAATATTGACAATATAGACTTTGCTATAATAATTATATAGACTGTGCTATAATAATAATTTATTTATTTAATTCATCTTATTATGCGTATAGTCTAAGTTTATAAATTATACGCTATTTAAAAGTATCTATACTACTAATTTATAAGCTTTTACCATTTGGGGGAGCTAAATTTTTAATCTTAATTATGAAACTAATCTTTCTTATCATTTTGCAGCTGTATGTTTGATGGAGTATGGCTGGAAATTAAATTAAAAAAAAAAAATAATTTCATTTTTTATATTGTAATGTAACATGATCTGCATTATAATGTTTGTATTTAATACATTTATTAATATTTTTTATAACTTTAATTGTTTATTCAATTCATAATGGAATAAAAAATAATAATATATAGTTTCTGCACAACAATAATGACTGTCACGTTTATATATATAAATGAAAATAAAAAACATAAATGTGGAATTAACTAAAAGAAACCTTTTTAATTTAGCCATTAACTAATTAAGTTTAACTAAATGAAACCTTTTTAAATGTAGAATTAGTGAGTAATTAATTAAAAAAATATAACTCCTTTTGAAGGGAAAGTGAAAATGTTTTTATTAAATGTTTTATTAAATGGGATTAGCTAGTAATTATATATATATATTTGAATTATAACATTGTAGAGATTGTCAAGAAGATTGTTCTGTCATTGGGGGCCACCTCAAACCGATCCTCCCTAGTAAATCTCCCGGTCGGTCATCTTACTCATCGGAAAATCTACCTGTCGGTTGGCGACCAAATAACTTTTTTTTTTTTTTTGAACATCTTATGTTTGCTATGAATATTGAATCCTATTAACATAATTAAAAAGTAGAAAATAATCACTATTATATTATATCAAAAGGACTATTTATCTACAATGTTTCACCTATTTAATGTTTAAACTCATTTGTTGTATGGATTTTTTTAGAATATTTTTGCTTACAAAATCTGTTAATTTAACTGTAATTTGACGGTTGCATTTCAAATTTGAGAATTTGTGTAAATTTATGTACTGAATTTATGTAATTTAACCAATTTGGGTTACTTATATTGGAATTTCACATAAGTTACGTACCATTAGCTAAAATTAACAAACGCAACTTCTGTTTCCTTCAAGCTTCTTCCTCGTTCCCCAAAAACCAACCACAGGTGAAAACCAATGTCGGCTCACGGCAATAGATTTCTGTTAACAAACGGCGTCGTTTTGCCGTCAGCGGACACTCCTCCAGTCGCGGCTTTTCTTGAAGCTCATCCAGGTAATTTCCGCAAACTCTCTTTCTCTCTCTAACAGAAAATGTTCGTCTTTGATTCTTACACGAACTGCAAGCAATGAAGCCGAAAAAACAAATTAAAGAGAAAAAAACAATTTGGGTTTTAAAGAAATATTCAATTGGGTAGATGTACTGATTAGCTTTGATATTAAGGTGCATACACGACCACTCGTACCCACAAAAACGGCTCAAAAATCTTATTTTGGGAAAGGCATCTACTCAGGCTATCCAATTCCTTCATGTTATTGTTAAAAGACAGCCCCAAATTCGTACTCCGAGATCACGAGAACCTCGCGCCCCAATTTTGGGAGCTTTCGAGCCGAAAAATGACGTGGGACTCGTTGATTAGGTGTTTAGTCAATGATTCTATGGGAAAAATGATGCCTTTTGCTTTGAGTGAGAGAAAATCTGGGGAAGAATTGGCAGTCACGACTCTTTTGAGTGGGAATAAGGAGAATTTGCAACGTTTGAACTGTGATTATAGTGATGGAGATATTTCTAAGGCTTTGGATGTCTATTTACATGTAAGCGGATATGTTCCTCCGGTTTTTGGTGTGTTAGAGAATGCGGCTCGTCTGGCAGTGGTTGGCCGTGGAAGGAATTTTGCGGGTGCAAAGTATTCAGAATGGGTCAGGTGAAAAATTGTTATGTTAATTTGAGTTTTTTCAGTGATTTGCTCGGTTGAATCTAATGTGGGAATCTGAGTTTCTGTTGATTAATGGATATAATAGTTTGTTGGAACTTTGTCATTTGGCATTCTGTTTGTTCATTAGTGGTTGATACCTTTTGGCATTTGAGCATTTTCATGGTCGCAATATTATGCGCTTTATTTTTATTTTTCGTTTTGTACCTTTTTTCTTTCCCACTGAATTTACTTTAGGCAGGCTAAGGAAGCATTTGGAGAAACTGAGACCACCTTCTGTTACCGAACTATTGTTATCGAATGACGGTGATCGGATTTTGGAAGGCAGTTTGACAAACTTTTTTGTTGTCTGTCTCAAGGTGAGGGATATATTCCTTCCGGAAAGAGTTTCTGTTAAAAATTTGATATTTTGGTTGATTTAAGAGTTTAACTAACACTGGACGAGACTACTGTAGTCATCAATTTTTTGTGCTTTGTTCAGTATTTAAATGCTGATGACAAAATTGCTCTATCTGTAAACTGTTTTCTGTTGATAATCAAGAGTGTCAATATTCTTATGAACCTACTTACAGGTATGAGGTAAAAACGAAGAGTTAAATCAACTTTGCGCGGACCTTCTCGCAGAAATTCGCTTATTTATGACCAGATTAAGTTAATTATTATACAGTTTAGTATCATCTGATTTCTTCTTCCGGCCTCTGTAATCTGAATTGGGGCTTGTATGCATCATTTAGTTCCTAATTTGTTTGAATTTTGTAGTCACATGTTCAAAGACATATTTTAATGCCCTAGTGTCGAATCTTGCTTCCAATTTTCATTAGATAACTTCTAAATTCAATTTTCAGATCAATATTCGTTCTCGTTCGGTTAAAGCTACTTAGGTCATGGATTCTTTGAGCACATTTAATGTTGCATATTTCTGTTAACTTTATTTACGATTCATTTGTTATATTCGTAGGAAAAACATGGAGATGTTAAAAATGAATATTTAAGAAGCATTGAAGTTCAGACGGCTCCTCTGAGTGAGGGTGTCCTTCCTGGAGTTTTACGGGAAGTAATTAGAGAGTAAGGATTTTTCTTCTTCTCAAATGTATGCTGTATTAGTGCACATCCTTCTAAATTATCCTTTCGGCAACTATTAAGTTTTACATGTGAGGAAAACACACACACACACAAACACACACAAGGGCAATATTGTGTTCGGTTATTGCTGTGTATAATGTCACGATGCATGCCATTTATTACCATTCTTAACATGTGAAGCATATGTCTGAAAACTGGAATCTCTTTTCGAGAAGTTTCCCCATCATGGTCAGAGCGTGACTTGTGGACTGAAGCATTTATCACGAGTAAGTTTTTGCTCATTCACAAAAAGGTGTCATGCCAGTTGCATCTTTTTTTTTTTCAGTCCAAAAGCATTTGTATGTCTTCTAGATTCGAGTCTAATCTTGTGTTACATGAGACAGATAGTCTTAGGATTTTACAACACGTGGAGTCAATCCGAGCTCCTAATGTGTGGAAATGTATCGAATCAAAGACTTGGGAGGAGATAAAATGGGTCGAGAAACAATTTGAGGTGTCTGAGCTTGTGTTTTTTTTTTTCTTTTCTTTTTTGTTTTCCTTTTTAACTCCATTGAAGGGATATCTAATCTTTTTTATTGTTGATGTTGTTTTCTGTTTTTTCTCTCAGGGTGGCCCAGGGAAGATTACATCAATGTTGCAGGTGAATAT